TGGCCCAGGGCGCGATCCTGGAGACCCTGGATCGAGTCCCACATCAGGCTCCCTGCATGGAGCCTGCTTCTCCCTCTGCCTCTCTCTCTCTCTCTCTCTCTCTCTCTCTCACTGTGTGCCTATCATAAAAAAGAAAAGAAAAGAAAAATCTTGCCATTTGCAACAACATGGACAGACTCAGGTGACATTATGCTAAAGTGAAATAAGTCAGACAGAAGAGGACAAATACCATATGATTTCACTTATATGTGGAATCTAAGAAACAAAACAAGTAAACAAGCAAAAAACCAGATTGATCAATACCCAGAACAAACTGGTAGTTGCCAGAGGAGGGGCGGATGGGGGATGAGCAAAATAGGTGAAGGGAATTAAGAGGTACAAACTTCCACTTATTTTCCACTTTATTGATAAAATAAAAAATAGGTACAAACTTCCACTTATTTTCCACTTTATTTATAAAATAAATAAATCATGGGGATGAAAAGTACAGCATAGGGAATATGGTCAGTAATATTGTAATAATGTATGATGACAGATAGCAACTACGCTTATCATGGTGAGGATAGTGTCATGTATAGAATTGTTGAATCACTATATTGTACACCTGAAATTAAATTAACATAATATTGTAAGTCAACTATACTTCAATTAAAAATAAATAATTTGGGGGACACCTGGGTGGCTCAGTGGTTGAAATTCTGCATTTGGCTCAGGTTGTGATCCAGGGGTCCTGGGATCAAGTGCCACATCAGGCTCCCTGCATGGAGCCTGCTTCTCCCTCTGCCTATGTCTCTGCCTCTCTCTGTGTGTCTCTCATGAATAAATAAAATCTTTCAAAATATAAAAATAAATATAAATAATTTTTTAAAATAAAATCTGCAGGGATCCCTGGGTGGCTCAGCGGTTTGGCACCTGCCTTTGGCCTAGGGCGTGATCCTGGGGTCCCGGGATCAAGTCCTGCATCAGGCTCCCGGCATGGAGCCTGCTTCTCCCTCTGCCTGTGTCTCTGCCTCTCTCTCTCTCTGTGTCTAAAATAAATAAATAAATAAATAAATAAATAAATAAATAAATAAATCTTTTAAAAAATAATAAAATAAAATAAAATCTGCTTTTCTAGAAGATATCGTCTTTAAAAAAATAAATCATTCTGGTGACTTTGGCTAAATTCACAATTTCATCGAAGACATACCCTACTATAGTGGTTCTCACACTTCTGGAAGCATCCAATTTCCCTGGAGGACTTGTTAAACCACAGACTCCTGGGCCCTGCTGCTGGAGTTTCTGATCCAGTAGGTGTGGACAGAGCCGGAGAATTTGCTTTTCTTTTTCTTTTTTAAATACAGATTTTATTTACTTATTTGACAGAGAGACAGAGCAAGAGTACAAGCATGGGAGCAGCAAGAAGGAGAGGGGGAAGCCAGCTCCCTGCTGAGCAGAGAGCCTGAGGCAGGGCTCCATCTCAGGACCCCAGGACTATGACATGGGCTGAAGGTAGATGCCCAACCAAGTCAGCCAGGTGCCCCAGAATTTGCTCTCCTAACAGGTTCCCAGGTGCTGCTAAAGCTGCTGGCCCAAACATCTTGAGAATCACTGCCCTAGAATAAGTTCCATCAAAGTCCTCTAAAAGCCGAGAATGTGAGCTCTAGGGGAATTCTCTCCCACCACCACGTACATAGGCATTGGGATTGTCTACACAACACCACCCTGCACCTGTCCTTGGGCTGAAGAAATAGAGAGGGGGGAAAGGCTCTGGGGGCCTACAGGGCCCTTCAACATCTCTGCACAAGTCACAGTGCCCAAGCTTCTATGTGTGCTTGATTCCCTTTGATCACCTCTTTAAGTCCAGAGCCTTTTTTTTTTGTTTTTTTTTTTTTAGTGTAGTTGACAATGTTACATTAATTCCAGGTGTACAACGTAGCGACTGCAAGAGTCCAAACATCATGCTGTGCTCACAAGTGTAGCTGCCACCTGTCCCCACAAATCACTACTACAGTACCACTGACTGCATTCCCCACTGTCTTTCATTCCATGACTCATTCAGCAAATAACTAGAGGCCCATCTCCCACCCCCCTTCACCCATTTGCCCATCTCTCCACCTCCATCCCCCAGCTGCCCCTCTGACAACCATCAGTTTGATCTCTGTGTTTACAGGTCTGATTCTCAGTTTTGTTTATTCATTGAATTTTGTTTCTTTGTTTAGATTCCACATATGAGGGATCCCTGGGTGGCGCAGCAGTTTAGCGCCTGCCTTTGGCCCAGGGCGCGATCCTGGAGACCCGGGATCAAATCCCACGTCAGGCTCCCGGCATGGAGCCTGCTTCTCCCTTTGCCTATGTCTCTGCTTCTCTCTCTCTCTGTATGACTATCATAAATAAATTTTAAAAAAAATTATAAGATTCCACATATGAGTGAAATCATATGATATGTCTTTCCCAGTCTGACTGAGAAGCACAGATTCTTGCGAGGCCTTCGTGTTCTCTGCTCTGCTACTCTGAGCCTGCTTCCTTGACTGAAAAGACGGGGCAGTGATATCCACTTTGCAGGGAGCAAACTTTGGGAGCAGGTGCCAGGGCCTTCCCTAAGCCAGAACATGCTAAGCATGCTGGTTAATAATAGCGCAACTCCCCAAGTATATAATAAAGTTCTGAGGCTGTGAGAAAGGCCTCACTATTAGTATGGCAGGGTCTGGAGCTGTGGCTGGCAACCAAAACACTTCCCTTTGCCTCTAGTGAGGGCTTACTGGTGAGGCCTCTGTGAGCGCTTCTCAGCCCTGGCACCATTACCATTCTGTACTGGATAATTCTGTGTTGCAGGGGACCATCCTGTCTATTGCACAGCATTTTTGGGTTCTCCCCACTAGATGCCAGTAGCACACACGTCCCCCATTCCCACTTAGTTTCAACTATCAAATGTATCTCCAGATAATTTACAGGGGGAAGTGGCTTCTACATGCTCAGCATATACATAACAGGTGCTCAATAAATGACTTAGAGTTAACTGAAGGCAAGAGAATGCCTTTCATCCAAAAGAATGCCCCGGGACTACCTCTCTGACAGCCAATTAGGTCCCACCTCCTCTACCCTATTTTTGCAAGGCCCTGTGCAAATGCCACCTCCTCTGTGAGGACTCCCTTGATTGTCCCCACCCTTAGTTGTATATACTCTCCCACTTGGTGCTGATATCTGATAATTTGTGTTCTTGACACTTGTCATTTAGTGCCCCACACATCTGTATCTGTGTCTTACCTCCACTATTCACAAAGTACCAAGTTGGCTTTAGAAAAACTTGACACATTTCCTCTGCCCATTACCTTCCCCATAAAAATTATATTCTCGGGGATCCCTGGGTGGCGCAGTGGTTTAGCGTCTGCCTTTGGCCCAGGGCGCGATCCTGGAGACCCGGGATCAAGTCCCACGTCGGGCTCCCGGTGCATGGAGCCTGCTTCTCCCTCTGCCTGTGTCTCTGCCTCTCTCTCTGTGTGACTATCATAAAAAAAAAATTATATTCTCTCATATGCACGTGGTATTTTCTCAAGCCTATATAAAATATGAAGGAATGGGGATCCCTGGATGGCTCAGCGGTTTGGTGCCTGCCTTTGGCTCAGGGCATAGTCCTGGAGACCCGGGATTGAGTCCCACATCAGGCTCCCTGCATGGAGCCTGCTTCTCCCTCTGCCTGTGTCTCTGCCTCTGTGTGTGTGTGTGTGTGTCTCCCATGAATAAATAATGTTTTTTTTTTTTTTAAATAATGTTTTTTTAAAAAAATATGAAGGAGTCCCAGGGTGGCTCAATCAGTTAAGTGTCTGCCTTCTGCTCAGGTCACAGGCCCAGGGTCCTGGGATCAAATCTCACATAGGGCTCCCTGCTCAGAGAGAGCCTGCTTCTCCCTCTCCCTCTGCCTCTTCCTGCCACTCCACCTGCTTCTCCGTGGTTTCTCTGTGTCAAATAAATAAAGGGACGCCTGGGTAGCTCAATGGTTGAGCATCTGCCTTCAGCTCAAGGTGTGGTCCAGGAATCTCAGGATTGAGCCCCACATATGGCTCCCCACTTCTCCCTCTGCCTAGGTTTCTGCCTCTCTCTCGTCTCTCATGAATAAATAAACAAATCTTTAAAAATAAATAAAAATATAAAAGAAACGTTCACAATTTGCATTCCTTTGCAATATACAACCTAAGTAAAACTGTCTTTTACTTAAAATGTATTAACAACTTAATAGCGTGCATTTAGCAGAGTCTAAAAAAAAAACCACTTTACATAGATTAACTCATTTTATCCTTAAAACAACCCTACGAAGGAGATCCCTGGGTGGCTCACAGGTTTAACACCTGCCTTTGGCCCAGGGTATGATCCTGGGGTCCCAGGATCAAGTCCGGCTTCAGGCTCCTGGCATGGAGCCTGCTTCCCCCTCTGCCTGTGTCTCTGCCTCTCTATGTCTATCATGAATAAATAAAATCTAAAAAAAAAAACAAAACCCTAAGAAGAAGAAACTTTTTATAAAACACGCTTTCCAGATGAGGCACGGAGAAGTGAATTAACCGGCCGACTGGTCACACAGCTGCCAAGTACAGAGTTCGGGCGCAAACCGGGCAATCCCTCTGCAGTCTGCAGGTCTTAAGGGCTCCAACCTCGCACAGCCAAGCGGGTTCAAGGCCTGCACGCGTCCAGGTCCCAGCAAGGCTGCAGCTCGCAAACCCTTCCTGGCTAGAACCCTGCGGCCGTGGGTCGCCAGGCCCAAGGCTCCTAGGACCGAGGTTACGCCTTCACGAGTTGCCAGGGGGGCAAGCCCTGTGCTTTGCACGCAGCGCGCTCTCCCTTTGGTCAAATACAGAGGCCGTGCAAGGCGGGGAAGTGCTCCCCGGGTCCACCCCGGGCCCCGTCCCGCAGCCCGCAGCCCGCAGCCCGCCGGAGCGCCGAGCCCCACCGCGCCGCCTGCCGCCCGTAGCCAGCAGGTGTCGCCGCGGCGTCCCCGGAGCCGGAGGGCGGAGCGGCCGCAGACCGCGAGGAGCATGTGGACGCTCGGGCGCCGCGCCGCCGCCGCCGGCCTCCTGCCCCGCTCGGCACCCCCGGGCTCAGCCGCGGCCGGCGCGGGGACCCGGAGGCCCACGAGGGCCGCCCCGCTGCACGGCGGCCGGGGGCTGCGCGTCGGGACAGGAGCGGCCCGCGGGCCCAGCCACGCCGTGAGTACCGCGCCGCGCAGCCGACCGGGCCGCAGGCCGGCGGAGGAGGCCGCGCACGCTGGGGCGCTGCGGGCACGCGCGCTCACGGGGCTCCGGCGGCGCCGCGGGCCGGGGACGCGCTCTGCGGGCGGGGGCGCGCTCTGCCGGCCGGGCATGCGCTCTGCGGCCGGGGACGCGCTCTGCCGGTCGGGCATGCGCTCTGCCCGCGGGAGACGCGCTCTGCCAGCCGGGCATGCGCTCTGCCCGCGGGAGACGCGCTCTGCGGGCGGGGACGCGCTCTGCCAGCCGGGCATGCGCTCTGCGGCCGGGGACGCGCTCTGCCGGTCGGGCATGCGCTCTGCCCGCGGGAGACGCGCTCTGCCAGCCGGGCATGCGCTCTGCGGCCGGGGACGCGCTCTGCCAGCCGGGCATGCGCTCTGCGGCCGGGGACGCGCTCTGCCGGTCGGGCATGCGCTCTGCCCGCGGGAGACGCGCTCTTCGGGCCGGGTCGCGCTCTGCGGGCGCCTGGCGGCGGTGGAGCGCGCTGCCCTCTCCGCGGGGTGCGCGGCCGCGCAGCCCGCCTCCTGGTGCCCGGGGTCACGTTTGCACCGGCCTCTGCTTTCCGGTGCTCAAGGGCAATGCACTGCAAGGGCGGGGGACACGCAGCGCGGAGGCCCGGCACCCGCCCGCCCGCCCACGGAGGGAAGGTGGCCGGGGACCCGCTCTCGGGGGTCCGTGGTGGTCGCCCAGCTCGCCGCCTCCCTCTGCCAGAACTAAGGTTTAAGTGATACTGTATACTGTACTGGGTACTGCACCACACACTGTATGGCAGATGATCCTAGTATCTGCGTAAGTATATATAAATAGGCTGAAACAGCCACATACCAACAAAGCAGTGTGTAGTAGTGTGTGTCTATAACTAGAGGAATGTGTTCAAGAATGTGCTTTTATGAACGAAAAGCTTCCTTGGAGCCAGGTGGAACTACAAGGCCCTGGAGCGCAGTAGGTAGCGCAGCAAAGCTTTTGGAATAGGACCCGGCCTGGGTTCCTCGGGCCTGGCTGGGCTCTGCAGAGCTCTGCGACCCCGGGGACCACCCCTCCCAGAGGCCTGGCTTCCTATTCTGTCTAGAGATGAAAGGATGAGGAACGCTCATCCTGCCGAGCTGGGGTGAGGATCCAGTTGGCTGAACGTGATAATAAAGTCTTCAGCTCTGGGAGTTAATTCTCTTTCCTTCCCTTGGGGATGCAGTGAAGCATCTGACCCAGGCAATCCCAAGACCTGAGAGGAGGAAGCCCAAGGAGTGGCTGTGGAGTGAGGAAGACTCACAGCGGGGTGGACGCGATGTGTAACCCGGCTTGGAGGTGGCGCTTGGAGGTGGCAAGAGAGCAGCATCCTAAAAGGGGGACCTGCCTGGGCCGGGTAGGCAGGTGGACAGCAGCTGAGTGGCTGGGTGGACCCTGCGTGGTGAGGAAGGCAGGTGAAGTCCAACCCAAATTGCCTGTGGAGCTCTGGAATTGGGACTTTAGACTTAAACTTCCCACTGCCCTGTTATTTGACCGTGTGTGAAGAAAAGTTAGAATTGGTTGCCAACACTCAAAGTTGGGACCTTTGATACTGGATCTTGCAGCTTCTCCAGAAAAATAGGCAGTCGTGACCATGCTGGTTCCACGAGGTCCCAGTGCAGAACACAGACATTTATTACCCTTCTCCTGGGCTGTTCTGTGCTGTTCCCACCTGGAGCTGCCCTGGCTTGCACTTCGACCCCTGTGGGCCATGGATTGGCAGCAGTTTTTAATTTAGGACAGTGACAAGATATGGCATGGTCTCTTGGATGGTACCTAGTGGCTGTTGAGGGCTGTTGACTCAGAAGCATGCCCAGCTTAGAGCTGCCACGCAGGGGGTGGGCACTGGACACACATTGGGATTAGGAGTCTTGGGAGGTCGGGAGGTAGTAAACAACCTGAATCACCCCACTGGGCCTCCTCTACCATGTAAATTAATTGAGTTTGTTGAGCTTGTCTGTAACACAAGTTCGCTTACACGTTCTCCAATACTTGCGGAGTTGGGTGGATGACGATGGCAACTGGGATCACCTTGTTTAATTTGTTTTAAGGCCTGAACTGTCCTCAGGCTGACTCCTAACGTCTCTGTGCGCCAGAACTCATCAGGACCTGAGTTCAGTGGGTGGGCCTCTTCCGCTTCCTTATTTTCTCTACTCCCTATCCTACTTCTACAGCACCGTCCAAAAGAAATAGAATGGGAGCTGCATGTGTAATTCTAAATTTTCTAGTAGCTACATTACATTGACAGAATATAAAAAAGCAGGTGAAATTAATTTCGATACCACAGTGGGACACCTGGCTGGCTCAGTTGATAGAGCATATGACTCTCCATCCCAGGGTCATTAGTTCAAGCCCCATGTTGGGCCTAGAGGTTAGTTTTAAAAAAAGATTCCAACACTACATTTATGTAATCTAGTTCTTCAAAATATTATCATCTCAACATTCTGGGTTCTCAGTAGAACCCAGAATCTACAGAAATGGTTTCCTTCTAAGTGTGCGACTCTGTGGCCCAGGGAGGCATCTGGTTCCATCAGGCACCGATCCTCAAACACTTTCCCTGGTGCGCTGGAGGCAGCTCCAAGGAGAGATTGCCACATGTTGCCATCTGTTACATAACTCCGTGAGCCACTGCTGCAGCCATGTCTGCACACCTCGGAATGTTTGCAGACACCTGTGAATTTTTGTAGAGGAACAAGATCATCACTATGACCCGTGGTCTTTTGGCCTCAGGCCTGGCAAGCAGGTTATGACCTAATTCACTTTAAATTCATTTTTATTGTCTTCCACAGACAATGTACATGAATTTATACATAAATATGTGTATGTAAAATATGTGTCCTGTTTAAAGATTAATAACTGCCACGTTCTCACCACTAGATTAAGAGATCGAATATTAGTTGTTCCTCGGAAGGCTCTGGGGCTCTCCTCATTATGACCAGGCCTCCCTGAGAGGAATCTGCTCTCCTGACTTGTCAGGCATTCTCCTCCTTTCCTTAGAGTTGCACCCCGATATATGTCTCCGTAAACCATGCGCTGTGATGCAAAAAAAAAAAAAAAAAAAATCCTGCATTTATTCTGCTGTGACTTTTTCCTTGTGTTCAGCATTGTTTTTGAGGTTCATTGACACTGACGCAGTGTTGTCACTTAACTCATTTTCTCTGCTGGATAGTATCCCATTGGGTGAGCACATCATACTCTATCCAGTGTCCTGGTGACATCCATGTGATTTGCCCATGGTGCTGCTGTCACGGTGGTGCTGCTGTGGGGCCTTCCTGGGCGTGGACAAAGGCCCTTTGTGGCTGAATCCTCAGAGTGGCATTGCCAGGCAAGGGACCAGGAAATACTCAACTCATTTGATGCTGAGAGTGGTTGTACTGGTTCATCCCCCCTGGAAGCGGGTAAGAACTGACTTCCAGCGTTGTGCTTTGCCGAGGCGACCCCTTTTGGGGTGAGGGGTGGCCTCCCTGTTGGCCACCCAGGCCAGGCCTCCCCAGGGTGGACCTCAGTTGAGTCATGCAGTTCCAAGGCTGGGGCAGAGAGGGTAGGCCTAGAACCATCTCATATTTCCTCAGATGCCTCCCATGAGCCAGCCCGGTGCTGAGCCCCCAGACTGGTTGAACCCTGAAGACTCAAGCTGGGCAAACCCATCACAGAGTGATCATCCAAGGGCCCCGGGTGGCTTGGAAGCAGGAGGGGTGGCTGCTGGGTGGCTTCAGGGGGAGCACTCATAATACAGCCCTCCCCACTGCGAATCCATCTGTCGCCCACTAGCAGAGTGGTGCAGCTTCTCCCGTGGGCAGGGGCTGGATTTTGCCTCTGACTTTCTACCTCTCTACACCTTTGTTGACATGCTCCAACACCGAAACTGACTGACCACCCTCCAGCCCTGTATTTAGGGTATTCGTCTCCTCCTGACTAATGCTCATCACCAGTCCATATGGCAGGTACTGTGATCCCTGACTTCAGGGGTTCTGAAAGGTTAAGCAGGTACCCAGGGAATATGAGCTTGGGAAGAACCGGTAAGAGACCAGCAAGGCGTCTTCGGCAGCAGTTCCTTTGATGATTAGAAACAGACAAATATAGGGACGCCTGGATGGCTCAGTGGTTGAGTATCTGCCGTCGGCTCAGGTCATGATCCTGGGGTCCTGGGATTGAGTCCCACATCGGGCTCCCCGCAGAATGTGCTTCTCCTTCTGCCTGTGTCTCTACCTCTCTCTCTCTCTCTGTGTTTCTTATGAATAAATAAATTAAATTAAAAAAAAAAACCAGCCAAATATAAATGTCTGTTTCTGGCTGTGAGTAACTTGCATTACAGCAAACTTTGCACCCAGAACAGCCATCCAAGATATCAAAGTCAAAACCAAAAATGAAACGGGAAAAGGCTGAAGCAAAGGTGTCAGACTGCGACAGCTAGGATTTGAGAGGCCAGGCTCCTGGAGAAAAGGGAAACTCTGAGCTCCCAGTTCTCGAACTTCCCTTACATGTCCACAATCCTGTACGATTCCCAGCTGTGTGATTCTTTCCACTGTGGCCCAGACCCTGGAGCCAGATGGTGTGGGTTCAAATCCCGGCTCCTCCACTTTGTATCTGTGTGCTGTGTGACTTTGCTCAGTTTTCTCATCCGTAAAATACAAATATGGTCTATCCTTGTGTTTCACGGATCTTGTACTTCTGAATTCACCTGCTCAGTAAAATTTATCTGTAACTCCAAAAATCAATACCTAGGGTGGATTTTGTGGTCACTCTGGGACAGGCAGAGAGCAGCAAAAACTTAGACTGGCCCCACACTTGCCTGTTCCCACAGGCAAGAGGTCAAACAAGAGGACACTCTGCCTTCTTGCCTCAGTGCCCACACTGTCATCAAGTGTCCTTTTCACCACCTATGTAGTGGCACATTGTTTGCATTTTTGTGGTTTTCGTTGGTTATTTCACTATTCATTTTTATTTTTGTTTTAAGATTTTATTTAATTTATTAAAGAGAGAGAGAGAGAACACAAGCAGAGGAGAGGGAGAAGCAGGCTCCTCACCGAGCAGGGAGCCTGACTGGGGCTGGATCCCAGGACCCTGAGACCACAAACCCAGCCAAAGGCAGACGCTTCACCAACTGAGCCAGCCAGGCACCCCTGATTTCACTATTTGAAATGGCCCCGAACATGGTGCTTGTGATTCAACAATACGTATCAAACCAGGGGTCTTTAAACAAAAACGCATGCAAACAAGGTTATGTATGGGTCAGCTGGTCACATGAGCCTGAAGCCGGCAGGAAGCTAAGCCTGTATCTGCCATAGGAGCATCTCGCTAAACTTGTGTTCATGGTGACCTTCTAGAACAAAACTATTGTGGGGCAGCCCGGGTGGCTCAGCGGTTTAGCGCCGGCTTCAGCCCAGGGTATGATCCTGGAGACCCGGGATCGGGTCCCACGTCGGGCTCCCTGCATGAAGCCTGCTTCTCTCTCTGCTTGTGTCTCTGCCTCTCTCTCTCTCTTTGTGTGTCTCTCATGAATAAATAAATAAAATTAAGAAAAAAGCACCATATTTTAAATAAATAAATAAATAATAAAATCACAGCCTCTGTGCTCTGCACCCCCCCTCCCATTTCTCCCTTTTCTGCTCATTTCTCAGCCCCTTGCCCTCTGCCTTCTCCTTCCTCAGCTTGCCAAGGGCACAGATGGCTCAAGAGTACGGCCTCTGAGCCCTGCTCCAAAGTGACCTTCAGAGAAGGTAAATCTTACCACCAACCACCTCAAGCTCTTGGATGCCTTCCCAGGTTGATGTCCAGCTGAGTGCCATCACAAGGCCCTGTGGCCATCTCTCCATCCTCTCCCCTGCCACCTCTACTCTCATGAACCACTTTACTACTCTCCTTTTACAGGCTCTGTCCTCTCCCACGCTGGGGCAGATCCCTCAGCCAGGGTCCCCTCGGTGTTTGTCACCATCCTCTGGTTATGGCATCTGTCTCACCAGCTGGTCCATAGGGCTGCTGGCCCCAGAGACGAGTGCCTGGATGCTCAGCAGTTATGTATTGGAAGAAATCAACAGGTCACATTCATTATCTCCTGCAGATCAAGTTAATGAGACCTGTCCATCTGCAGTCCGATCCTCTGTTCTGGACATCGGCAGACATGCTGATGTTGTTGCTTCTGTTAATCAGATCCCGGGAGCTTTGCTGATGCTCCCTGGCCTTGCTTGTGCTGATCACTACATAACTCGAACAGCCTGGAGAAGTGCTGCCTATGGAGCTTCCTGTGATGGTGACTGCGTCCTACATGCCACTAGCCACAGGAGGCCACAGGACACTTGAAACATGGCCTTCCAGAACATAGAAGTCCTGGAAGTGGCACTTGCCCCCTCACTCAAATTTTAGTGGGAGGTGACAGGAAAGAACTTCTTAAATTTCATGTCAATAAATTTAAACTTAAATAGTAGCCTGTGGCTCTGGGCTATTACACTGGACAGCACAGGCTTGGAGAGAGCCAGAGCAAACTCCAGGTAATCCATTACAAGGTAAAAACATTCCAGAAGTACTGGGGGGGGGGGTGTTATTTAGCCTGGTTTATTCTCAAATGCACAAGTAGTGAAATCTAAACCTTGCGTTCACAGACTGTAATACACTGAAAAATGATAATATTCTTCACAGACTGTAATACGCTGAAAAATGATAATGTTCTTCTCAACTTTGGCTTTTAGAGTTTGAGCCTCCACCACCTCAATCAGCTTGTGAATGTCAAAAAGCAGAGTGTCTGTTTGATGAATATGAGGACAGCAGGAACTGTGGGCAGCCCTGGGTAAGATAAAGCACCTTCCACATCAGAGAGCCCTTCCCCCTCCTCCCTCCTTCTCTCCCTCAATACATAACGTGTGCATAGGTGCTCATACTTCTATTATCTTTTTAATTTTTTTCCTTTTCTGGGACGCCTGAGTGGCTTAGTGGCTGAGCATCTGCCTTTAACAGTGTGATCCCGGGTTCCTAGGATTGAATCCTGCATCAGGCTCCCTGCATGGAGCCTGCTTCTCCCTCTGCCTATGTCTCTGCCTCTCTCTGTGTGTGTCTCTCATGTATAAATAAATAAAATCTTTAAGAAATAAAATTAAAAATAAAAATAAGTAATATAAAATATTTTTTTTCCTTTTCTCTTACCAGTTTTAAAAAAAAAGCCCATCGCACCCAAACCTGTTTTCTCCCTTAGCAGCAGCACTCATAAGCATCTTTTCATATCACCAATTACCTACCACATTGTTTTATTATTTTTTTTTGGGTAGCTCCACCCCCAGTGTGAAGCCCAACATGGGGTTGAAATCACAACCCTGAGATCAACACCTGAGCCGAAATCAGGAGTCAGATACTTAACCAACCAAGCCATGCGGGCGCCCTTCTACTACATTATTTTTAATGAAATATTATTAAAAGTTATGGATGCACCACAGTTCATTTAACCTATCCCCTATTGCTGGACATTTAGGTTGTTTCCAGATTTCTATTATTATTCTCTCTGGTGACTTAGCAGTTAGAGTACGCAAAGGCTCTATAATGAGGAGACCCAGAACTGTAATGGCTCAGGCTGGGAGTGGTTCGTGTCCTCATGGTCAAACAGTCCAGGGTGGGCATGCCTCTATGCAGTGAGTTAGGCAGCCGGGGTCCTTCCAACTTCCTATCACTTGTCAGTACCTTACTGTTGTCTGCACCTAGGAGCCCGGTGACCCTGCCCAGGTTCCAATCCACAGAAAGGGACTGGAGCATGGAAGTCCTGAAAGTGGCACTTGTCCCTCACTCAGATTTTAGTGGGAAGAATTTGGTCATAGGACCCCAGCTAACTGCAGGGGATGCCGGGAATCTAGCCTCTTGGGTGCCCTGGAAGGATGCGGTGGGTTTGGTGCAAAGCTCCCCAGCACTGCTACAGTCTGCTCCCCACCGCTGATGTTTGCATGGCCCCTCCTCCCACACGCAGACTCACACACACATTGGCCTCTAACCCCAAGGCTGCCACCACAGGCCCAGATGGTCCCTCATCCACCTGAAAGGCCAAGATTTCCAGGTGACATGAGGTCCTCTTTCTGGAGTAGCTTCTTTGACTTCTACACACATGCACACACACACACACACAAACACACACACCTGATGGAGAGGGGTTCTTCACTTCCTGGCCAACTCTTGATATTATCTGTCTCTTTCAGATATTGTCTGTCTCTTTTTAATCATTCTGGTGGTATCTCATTATGAATTTTTAAAATTTTTACTCATTTATTCGTGAGAGACACATAGGCAGAAGGAGAATCAGGCTCCTCACAGGGAGCCAGATATGGGACTCCATCCCAGGACCCCTGGATCACGCCCTAAGCCAAAGGTGCCCCTCATTGTGATTTTTTAATGTGTGTTATCCTGAAGATTAACAAAGTTATACCCCTTGTCATGTGTTCACTGGCCATTTAGATATCTTTTTATTTTCTTTTGTTTTTTTTTCTTTTTTGAGAGAGAGAGAGAGAGAGCACAAATTGGGGGAGGGGCAGAGGGAAAGGAGACTCCCCACTGAGCAGGGAACCTGACTTGGGGCTTGATCCCAGAATTCTGGGATCATGACCTGAGCCGACGGCAAACTCTTAACTGACTGAGCCACCCAGGTGTCCCTGGATATCTCATTTGAAATGATATCTGTTTTAGTATTTTACCCATTTTTCTATTGGGTTTTCTTTTTCCTATTGACTTGTAGTTCTTTATGTATTCTGGAAATAAGTCCCTTTTCAGATACATGTAATGCAAACATTTTCTCCCACATTGTTGTTGGCCCAACATAAATTTTAATAATAAAAACACAAGCAATGGAAATAAGCATAATGTCCAGCTGAAGAAGTCAGGTTGAATAAATCATATAAAATAAAATACCATGAAAGTCTGTATGTACTAATATGGAACAATTTCCAGGGTACATTAAATAAAAACTGTAGGGTGCTTCAATTTCTGTATTAAAAAGAATACAAAATTCCAGATGGATACAGAAGAGACTTATTTGTAGTTGACTGTGCATGCGGGCTGCTGACTTGAAAAGAAAGGTATTCTTCTGTAAAATTCTTTCATGCTGATTAAAATTTCTGTATGCATGGTAGCTATTTTCCTTGAATTTTTTTAAATTTAAGTAAAAACTGGACGTGTTGGAGTGCCTGGCTGGTTCAGTCAGTGAATCATGCGACTCTTGATCTTGGGGTCGTGAGTTCAAGCCCCACACTGGTCATAGAGCTTATTAAAAATAAATAAAGTAAATAAATAAATGTGTGGATTTTGACATTAATAAACTGGAGGAGTTTGGTAAATGTGTGTTTTGGGTGGTTTTTGTGTTTTCCCTGCAGCTCTCTGGATGAGACCACTTATGAACGACTGGCAGAGACGACACTGGACTCCTTAGCAGAGTTCTTTGAAGACCTTGCAGACAAACCTTACACATTGGAAGACTATGATGTCTCATTTGGGGTACCTCTCTGCTTATTTTCTTATGTCTGTTTCTTCCCTAAGAATTCTAGCTTATAAAACAAAGAATTCCCCTTCCAGTGGAGTTACGCATCCAGCAGCAGGCAGTTACGGATAGGACCAAGAGACTGGAATTTTATGTTCTCGCCCTGTGACCTTGGGCAAGTCACAGCCTCTATGAGCCCCTGTTTCTGCTTAAAAATACCGGTTCTCAAACTCCCTCTTGGTGCCTGTGAAGGTAAATCAGGGAGGGACCAGGCATGTGTTTGTCTAGCAAGAGGACTCTCTTGCAGGCTTGGGCAGCTCTGAACTAGGCCACTCCTTCTCCAGCCGGGTGTGCTCAGAGCACACAGACAGGGGTTCCTCTTCTGGGGGGGTTCTGATTTGGCAGGTCAGGGTATATTCTCAGGAAGCATATTTTCTAAAAGCTCACCTGGGATTTTAACATACACCCTGGGTCCCACCCCTAGATAATTTTTATTTAGTTGGTCTGAGAATATTGCCCAGGCAGGGCAGGGGAGGTTTTTTAGTTTTTATAATCACTCCTGGGATGATCCTAAACGCAGGTGGCGGCAGGCGGATCCCTGAAGCCAAGGGAGTGCTGCTCTACATCGACTGGCCACCGGGTGGCAGCCCCGAGTCGGGGTGCACCTCTGCCTTTAGCATGCTGTTCCGGCTGCAGGGAGGGCTCCTTTTCTGGCAGGAGAAAATCCCCACGGAGGTTAATCCTCTCGAGAGCAATTAATTGTCAGAAATGTTATGAAGTGGAATTATTTTGGACAACCAGCTGTCGGGCTAACGTGATAGGAACAGTGTGGGATATTATTACTGGGGAAGCCCTTGGGCAGAGAAGGGACTCCCTCCGATGGAGGAGGGAGCAGAATCTGGAGGATTTCCAGCCTAGTGGCAAGGACAGTGAGGGACTTGGAGGTCAAATTCAGGCGATGGGGCAAATAAGGACTGGCTGCCTTCCAGGTGGATTAGGTGACTGGGTGAGCATCGCCCAGGCAGGGTGCTGTAAGTGCTTACACAGACAGCCTTGGAAGGCAAGCTGCTGGGAGACCATTACTAACTGGCCTCCCCAGGTTGACTGTGGGATGAGGGAGCTGGGGGCGGTTACAGGGCTCTTCTCCCCCAGCCTCCCTACCAGGGGCTGGCTGTACTTCTAGGGAAACCCGGTCTCTGGCTAAACTCGGCCATACATGCAAACATTCATTAACATGCCACAAAAGCAGTCACACCGCCCATTCTTCTAAGATTAGTGAGAATACTTAGTGACTCAAGTATTTTGCATGAATGTTTCATTAGTAGTGAATGTGCTAGTGTTCTAACAGCTGGATTCTGTGTACCTCCCCGAATCAAGGAGCAAAGGCTCCTGCTCAGGGGCGCCTGGGTGGTTCAGTTGGTTGAGTGGCTGACTCTTGATTTCAACTCAGGTCATGAGCTCAGGGTCCTGGGAGTGAGCAGCAGTGTCAGGCTCTGTGCTCAGCGGGGAGTCTGCTTCTCCCTCTGTCTCTGCTCCCCCTCCCGCTGTTCTCTCTCTCTAACAAATAAAATCTTAAAAAAAAAAAAGACCGTACCCAGTGGTGGGTCACAGGACCCTACCTGAATCCTACCTGCAGAGTATCTCTCTGAAGAGGGACCCAGCTGCTGGGCTTTCCAGATTCTGTAACCCATTCCTGCAAAGGGAAGAGACACCTGTGTTTTTCTAGCCAGTCCATATATCTAAGTATCATTCTCCTCACCAGGGAAAAATCATTTACTAATTAGGAAATTCTCTAGTACATACATAGAAACTAAAGTATACAGTAGCTGGCTCTTTTGTTGAGACTTCTGATTGAGAACTTTGAAATGCTATCTACACTGGGGTGTGAACTCCTGATTTGAGTCTCTCAGGTATTAGCTGACATATATTTCATATATAAATCTATTGAAACTACATTATTGGCAGTAGAATACCCGTATCACTCTTATTTGAGCTCTGTTGGGGTGTAATCTTTCCCTGTCCCCAGGGTCCAGTTGGGCATTGTCTCCTCTGGGAAGTCCTCCTAGATGCTCCAGGCAGATACCACGCTTATTCCCTTGCCCTGCACCCTGAAGATGACTCTGTAGAGCACGGATCACTCTGTGTTGTCTCTACTTACATATCAGCTCCCATGGTGAGACTGAGTTCCTTGGCAGCCAAGACACTGTCTGTTCTTGGTATCCCAATGCCTGAACCATTGCCAAGTACATGATAGAGACTTAATGTTGATTCCATTCACAAATGAAATGGGCCCACGTGCTTTTCCAAAACATACTTTCCCTGATGCCACTCAGCATCATAGACATTTTAGCAACTTGCTCCTATGAAAGCAGTAATCCAGAGAGACCCGAGAGCACATTTGTTCTGTTTGCTCCCTGTGGAGTGAAAAATGTGAGCAGCTCCTTGGCTGTCCTGTTTTCTTGTCAGTGGAGTAGATCATCTGGGGTGTGGGTGTCTGGGTCCAGGCCTCACTCCCCACTGGCCCTGCCATTAGAGGGGACTGCCCACCACAGCAGAATGCACCTCCTGTCACTAGGCGTCCATAAGTCTGCTGCACTTGACCAGCAAAATCTGACCAGGGCTGTAAGAAGCACCATGCTGTCAGAAGGGTTACTTCCAAGCCACCTTCCTTCTTCCCCCTGGTGGAGCCCTGGGCTCTTTGACATTTTTTTTTTTTTTTAATTTATGATAGTCACACCGAGAGAGAGAGAGAGGGAGAGAGGCAGAGACACAGGCAGAGGGAGAAGCAGGCTCAATGCACTGGGAGCCCGACGTGGGATTCGATCCCGGGTCTCCAGGATCGCGCCCTGGGCCAAAGGCAGGCGCCAAACCGCTGCGCCACCCAGGGATCCCGCTCTTTGACATTTTAATGAGAATTTGTTTGGTAGCATGTTCTTTACTCACTAAGCTGTTGGCATATCACTGCCATACAGCAGAGGTTTCTTGACCTTTCCTGGACCTTCTCCCGAGAAAAACGTACCCATATACCTGTGAGTACAATCTCAGCTTCAGGGCAGGGCAGCTTGCAGACCCCTGGAGACCATCTCTGGGTGGGTGCCAGCTTACCGACACTTGCTCAGAGGCAGCATTTCTTCTGGGTATGGAGACAAAGCATCTAGCTCTGCATCCTGGATTTGTATTTTCTTTCCAAGAGCCCCTAAGTGAATTATCTCAACTTTTGTGAGTGGCAGGTTCTTCAGCGGGGAAGTGGGTGACATCCCTCTACTTCACGGGATTTACATTAGGATTGAACTTTAAAAGTGCCTTGCATTCATTATTCTTATTCCTTAAGAAGGGTATCTTTTTTTGAAGTGTGGGAAGCCACATATACCTGAAGTTGCCCACATCAACACTGCCATCTCCTATGTGTCTATTTCCACACAATGAGCTAGTAACAACAGAAATGCCTCCTTTTGCTCCCATGTGTGTAGGACTGATGTTGACTGGCGGGAATAAGCCTCCACCAGCTGCAGATGGGGGGCTATTGTGATTGGTTAGTGACCCCCACCAGAAGCTGCTAAGTATTTTGACTCTCCCCTACGTCCCCACCCTCCTCTGCATTCAAGTCTGCCCACAAGCCCAAAATAATCTGAGTGCCCCTTATGGAATAATACTAATGAACAAAAGGCCCTCTTCATCTGGGCCACTTACAGACAGTTCCAAAAGGATCAAGAACTTCTGGTAAACCAGTAGGCAGCTAACTTCCTTCCCCTCCTTCCTCCACTTGCTAGTTTCCTCTGGAAAGAGCCTCTGGCTCCAGGGGAAAAAATAATGACACACAATGAACAGCAGAGGAGTTGCCTGAGGATTGAGACTTTCTGCCTTGTGTAATAGCACCCTTAACTTCGCACATTTATCAGCATCCCTGGTCACTGTTCTTTCCTCCACAAATATATTTTTGCATCCATCCAGTATTCTGCACTAAGAACCAACAATGTGCTGGACACTGAAGGTGCTTGGATGATAAAGACAAATCTGCTCTCAAGGTGCCTAGTTGTGGAGGGGCGGAGGCAGGCGTCCGGCCAAGAAGCAGGCCGCTCAGATGCAGGTGCGGGGAGGAAGGCCGAGGGGCCGTGGGGGCCACGCACAGGCCCTGGTCCCAGCTGCCGGGTGTCAGGCTGACCGTGCCAGGGGTGCCTCAGCTGGGGTCATGGTCTTGGGTAGGGAGGGGTGCTGCAGAGAAGGAGCCGGGTGGAGGAGACCGCTTGAGGTCTGCATAGCTAGGAGAAACCTCACGGCTGCTTTATTAATAAGCTCTTTGTGAATGAGAGGCCAGTCCCCTGGAATCATTCCAGAAGATTTTGAGTTGGAAAGAGTTGATTTTGGCTTTCAGCAGTTGGATGTGCCATCCCTGGTTTGGTCTGTTCTAAGGGGTGACAGTGAGCAGGAGCGCACACAACCCCTGAGCGCCTGCGCCCCTCCATCCCTGCCCTGAGTCTCTGGACTCGATGTTGTCCCGAGGAAGGCCGCAGGGTTGATGAGACTCAAAGAGTGGCCCTCTGTGCTCTCCACTACGCCCTCACCTCCCCAATGTGGGGGGCAAGGCCTGGTGGAGCACCCAAGGACCACAAATAGGTCAAACTGCAAACAATTCTGTCTCGATCCCCTGAGCCTGCTGCCTCATGGAAAAATAAGCTATGAAAGTATGTATTTGGGGGAGGAAGGAATGGGGAGTGGCTGATGAAGGGTGTGGGGTTTCTCTTTGGGGCGCTGGAAATAGTTGAGAATTAGTGGTATTTGCACACTTTGTGAAAACACCTTGTGGAATACTAAAAACTGTTGAATTATGCAATTTTAAGATACTTTTTCTTTTCTTTTTGTAAGCAGGCAGAAGGGCAGAGGAAAAGGGGCAGAGAGAATTGCAAGCAGGCTCTATCCCACCACCTTGAGATCATGACTTGAGATGAATTCAAGAGTCAGACTCTTGGGACACCAGGGTGCTCAGTGATTGAGCATCTGCCTTCGGCTCAGGTCGTGATCCTGGGGTCCTGGGATCCAGTCCCACGTCAGGCTCCCTGCGGGGAGCCTGATTCTCCCTCTGGCTGTCTATGCCCCTCTCTCTGTGTCTCTCATGAATGAATGAATGAATGAATGAATGAATGAATGAATGAATAAATAAATAAATAAATAAATAAATAAATAAATCTTGAAAACAACAACAAAAAAAGTCAGACTCTTAACTGACTGAGTGCCCCAGGTGCCTCAAGACACTTTTAAGTAAATGAAAGGTGGTAGTCCTACCAAAATAGAAAAGGTGGGTTTCAAGAAAAATTTTTTCCGCAAACTTAATGGGGTGACTAGCTGGCTCAGTGAATGGAGCATGTGATTTCTGATCTCCAGGTCATGAGTTTGAGTCCCACCCTGGGTGTAGAGATTACTAAAAAAATTAAACTTTAAAAATAAAAATAAAAAGCGAACTTATGTACACTGTGATCCTAGTCCTTTTCAGAAATGCATTTAAAAACTGGAAGCTGGGGGATCCCTGGGTGGCTCGGCGGTTTAGCGCCTGCCTTTGGCCCAGGGCACGATCCTGGAGTCCCGGGATCAAATCCCGCGTTGAGCTCCTGGCGTGGAGCCTGCTTCTCCCTCTGCCTGTGCCTCTGCCTCTCTTTCTCTCTCTCTATGTCTATCATGAATAAATAAATAAAATATTAAAAAAAAAAAACTGAAAGCTGGGGCAGCCCGGGTGGCTCAGCAGTTTAGTGCCGCCTTCAGTCCAGGGCCTGATCATGGAGACCCAGGATCAAGTCCCATATTGGGCTCTCTGCATGGAGCCTGCTTCTCCCTCTGCCTGTGTCTCTGCCTCTCCCCCTCCCCACCCCGTGTCTCTAATAAATAAATAAAATTTAAATAGATAGATAAATAGAAATAAAAAACGGAAGCTGATAGCTGAGAGGGAACAGCTTGTATCGTTGGTTAATGGGATCAAGAGAGCTCTTCACATTGTGGCAACATCAGCTGCTTTTAGACCCAAACAGATCTGGATTTAAGATTAGCTCTGCTGGTTACTAAGTATTCCTTATTACTCTGTCCCTATTTCCCTCCTCTGTAAAGCTGGGATAATGATTCCCACCTCTGATAGTTATGGTCACAGGGAATACAATCTTACACAAAGTGTCAGATACAGCGCTTGGCACAAAGTAGGTACTGGACAGTATTGGTTAATATTTTTATTGATTTCATTTTATTTATACTCTTTGTATTTCTGATGTCTGTATAATTCCTCTTTGTTTCATTTTTCATCAGAAAAAAATGTTGTTAAAAGTATAACTCAAGGGATCCCTGGGTGGCGCAGCGGTTTGGCGCCTGCCTTTGGCCCAGGGCGCGATCCTGGAGGCCCGGGATCGAATCCCACGTCGGGCTTCCGGTGCATGGAGCCTGCTTCTCCCTCTGCCTGTGTCTCTGCCTCTCTCTCTCTCTGTGACTATCATAAATAAATAAAAATTAAAAAAAAAAAAAAAAGTATAACTCAAGGGCACTTGAAAGACTCAGTCGGTTGGGCATCTGCCTTCGGCTCAGGTTGTGATTCCAGGGTCCTGTGTTGGCCTTGGGGAACCTGCTTCTCCTTCTCCCTCTACTGTTTCCCTCGTGCTCTTTCTCTTTCTCTCTTATTCTTTCTCTCAAATAACATCTCTTTTTAAAAAAAGTGTAACCCAGTTGAGTCCTCCCTTGCCTGTCAGTTACATTATATATATCATATATATTATATGTTATTATTATCACACAAACCAAACACAAAGTGTTCTAAGAAATGTTCAGGGCCTCTTGATTGGAAAGGGGCTTAGAAGCCCACAGAAAAGCGGCCGTGTGTCTCCATGGGCTATGCCCGGGGTGGGGAACAGCCAGGGGCTGCCTTTTGCACACCAGCTCCAATAAAGGGACTGGGCAGTGTGGCTGCTTCTGTAATATTCTGAGCATTCTAAAGAAACCTCAGACCTTAAGAGTAAATGGCTCCTTTGTTTAAAGAGTGTTTTCAAATTTAAATGAGCATTTATTGAGCAAAGATGGACCAACTAGTCTTTTTAAAGAATTCAGGGCTCCTGAGGGAAACATAAAGCCCTTGAGAGCAGCTTGTGAGATGCGTGGGAAGGGTCTGAAAACAAAAACTGTCTGGAGTGTCGGCCTTCTGCGAGCAGAGCTGGTGCTGTGGCTCTTCTAAGACCAGCAAAGCAGGTGGTTTGACTCCTTCCCTCGACTTTGCCTGTTTTCCTTGTTTGGGTAATGAACTTGGCCTGTCCCACGTTCGGGCTGACGTGGTACCCGGGTAGAGTTGGTGTCTGCATTTTTTAGCATCCTTTTGTGTGTTCCGGATGGCCTTTGAGGGGACTAAGGCAGCAGGCAGGATGCGGAGGCTCCTCCTCAGGCAAGCCTCTGCTGCTTCCTCACCTGAGACAGGAACACTGGGAGTCCCCGGGGGACGCGGGAGAGCACAACGGCCTCCGAGTTAGCCTGGTTAATCGGAGTCTGACTGAAAGCAGTGTGCTTCTGGCATGATCTGCTCTTCCTGAACACGAAAGACGCGTCTTCACGGGTGTGTTGTGTACTTGCCTGGGTGTCGAGATATGAAGCAATTGTGACAAAGTGGTAACTTTGCTTTGTTTTATTTTCCTCATGCTTTTGCCACCTGGTCCGCCAGAGTGGTGTTTTAACAGTTAAACTGGGTGGAGATCTAGGAACCTACGTGATCAACAAGCAGACCCCAAACAAGCAAATCTGGTTATCTTCACCATCCAGGTACGTCGGGACATCGGCACCCGTTGTTGTTCAGCTCCTGTGAGGTGTGGTGTTGTGGACTCTCTAAGAGGAGAGTGGCCTCGCGGCTGGTGTCTGTGAGCGCACCTCTCCTGATGCTTCCTGCTCACCCCATCCTCGCAGGACAGTTAACTCTTCTTCTGTAACTTCGGTCAGCCAGTGATCTGGTTGCTATAAGCAGATATTGAGATATTGGCAAGATCTGAAACAAAAAGTTTATCACTTTTCAGAACCTGCCCTGGATAGTTTGTATCAAGTCATTGCCCCGCCTTTTTAAAAATCCACTTTTGGGGACACCTGGGTGGCTCAGCAGTTGAGTGTCTGCCTTTGGCTCAGGGCATGATCCCGGGGTTCTGGAATCGAGTTCCGCATTGGGCTCCCCACAGGGAGCCTGCTTCTCCCTCTGCCTATATCTCTGCCTCTCTCTCTCTCTCTCTCTCTCTCTCTCTCATGAATAAATAAATAAAATCTTTAAAAACACAAAAGCCACTTTTGATGCTGCAGCCTCAGAGTGAGCTGCACTTTGCCTTCAAAGCAGGTTAAAGTTTGACCTTTAGCTTGTTTTGAGCATCTTGCCAAAGGTTGGTTGCATTCCCTCTGTGGAGGTGGGAGGGTGTCTTAAGCTGGGACTCTAGGGCATTGAATCCCTCCTGCCTTTTCCATCAATGTGCTTTCAGTGTAGCGGAAGAAAAGACTATGTTGGAGGCCGCCTGCGCTGCATCTCAAGGCCTGAGAGTGTGCAGGGAGAGAGGGTCCCTGTCAGTCTGCATCTATCTGGGTGGTTATAAGGGCTCTCAGACCAACCTTCCTGGGTCATTAGCACCTCCATAGGCAACATACTGACTGTGCTTTGGGAAAGGTCCAAACATAACCAGCATGTAATTCTTTGACAGCCCAATGGTATTTGCATTAAAAAAAAAATTATATGGGCACCTGGGTGGGTCAGTCAGTTAAGCATCCGACTACTGATTTGGGCTCAGGTCATGATCTTGGGAGTGGAATCGAGCCCTGAGTAGGCTCCGCCCATATCAGGGAGTCGGCTAGAGATCTCTCTCTCCTCCCTCTGTTCCTCCCCTGGCTCTCTCTTTCTCTCTCAAATAAATCTTAAAAAAAAAAATTATAACTCTTCTCCTGTCCCAACATTCATATCATTTTTTAGGCAGTTAACATCATACTCTTTATCATGCCATGGTATGTAATTATTCGTTCAAAATAAATAAGGTGTTATGCCTTCTTTGCCCTAGTCTCATCTAGGAAGCATGTTATAATTCAACAAACAATTCCAGAAATCACTCATTTCTAGCAAGGCCCTTATAGATTACATTGCTTTTTATTTTTTCATTTTTTTCTTAAGACTTTATTTTTTAAAATCTTTTTTTCTTAATTTTTATTTATTTATCATAGTCACAGAGAGAGAGAGAGAGAGAGAGGCAGAGACATAGGAAGAGGAAGAAGCAGGCTCCATGCACCGGGAGCCCGATGTGGGATTCGATCCTGGGTCTCCAGTAGCGCGCCCTGGGCCAAAGGCAGGCGCCAAACCGCTGCGCCACCCAGAGATCCCCTTAAGATTTTATTTATTTATTCATAGAGACAGAGAGAGAGAGGCAGACACAGGCAGAGGGGGAAGCAGGCCCCATGTAGGGAGCCGGACATGGGACTCACATGGGACTCAATCCAGGGTCTCCAGGATCACGCCCTGGACTGAAGGTGGCACTAAACCGCCAAGCCATCCGGGCTGCCCTATTTTTTTCATTTTTCAAAATATTTTTAAAATTTATTTATTTATGAGAGACAGAGACATAGAGGGAGAAGCAGGCTCCCTACGGGGAGCCTGATGTGGGACTTGATCCCAGGACCCCGGGATCACAATCTGAGCCAAAGGTAGACGCTCAACCACTGAGCCACCCACTTCTCCCTATATTGCTTTTTAGACCCAGTTAACTTGAAATTGGGTGTTTTATCCAACGTGAGACAATTAGCCTGTTCTCTCTGGCCTCAAACAGTTGTCCCAATCCTAACCAGAACCATGCATGATGACTGTACATTCTTACCCTTCACGTCTGAAGGAACCATATGAGAAACTGAGTGGATGTGTTCAAACCCAGCTGTCACCGTTGGGATTGGTGGCTATATAAATATGGGTAGGGCACAGGAACCATCTGTATGGCTCCACAAAAGGAATTCCCTCTGTGTTGTATCTGGAGGCCAAAAAAGTCTGTACCATGTTTGGACACACCTGCCAGCAATATGATCCTACCCCAGGCTTGTTTGATCTGTAATTCAAAGTGGAAATATGGAAAGAAATTCTGTCAAGCAGCCATTTACTCTCACAGATACTGTGTTCCTTAAGAAAAAAAAAAATATTTTTCCACTTAACTTTTTATGTCCAAAATAATCTTAAATGGGAATGCATTTCTGATATTTTGGGTGGTGGTTTTGTTTTATTTTGTTTTGTTTTAAATGACAGTTTTTCAGGTCCTGTGGAAACAGTGGTCTCTCCCAGCTAGCCTGCCATCCTGAGGAGGTTGTAGGGTGGGATAAAGCAGAGGTCTGGGTGGACACCTGGTTGGGAGCAGTGGAGGGGCCTGCAGGTTTCTCACCCTCTCCCTGGCATTTCGGCAGCAAATCTGAGTCCAAGGCCCAAGGAATGTTCTCTGGATTTGGTCCGGACTATCAGTTCTTTCTCTATGGCCTGGATCATTTGTATTTGACTGGCCGTGTGTATTAAACAAAGGCCCTAGTCCTATGGGTTTGTCCCTATTATCTCCACGATTATGAACATGGTCAAACCCAAGCATTTGGTTGATAATACAGAAATCTTTGATGCTTTTTGTATAGTCCGCCAAGATGCTTCCCTTCTAAGCTTCCCTCTTCCCTGGTAAACTCCTTACAGTCTTGACTTTGGGAAATCTCTCCCTGAGAATGCAGGTGGACCAGGCGCCCCTTCTTGTGACCTCCCAGGGCTCCCTGCTCTATCTCCATCAAGGCATGCCTGTGCATCGTCACTGTCTGCTGGCATGCCTGCCCCTCCACTAGTCTGAGTAGAGGCAGAATTAACGGGCACTGTTGTGTACATCTGGAATGACCAGACATGTCAAAACCCTACTACATCCAGGTCCACACAAATAACTCTTCCCAGCATGAATGGATATACACTGTTGTTCATTGGACCAGTTTGAGGTGGAGAAACTCTCAGTTTCATGGATTTAAAATATATTTTGGGGGGACGCTTGGTGGCTCAGTGGTTTAGCATCTGCCTTTGGCCCAGGGAGTGATCCTGGAGTCCTGGGATCAAGTCCCACATCAGGCTCCTTGCATGGAGCCTACTTCTCCCTCTGCCTATGTCTCTGCCTCTCTCTCTCCGTGTCTCTCATGAATAAATAAATAAAATCTTAGAAAAAAATAAATAAGATAAAAAATATTTTTGAGAGTTGCCTGGGTGGCTCAGTCAGTTAAGTGTCTGTCTTCAGTTCAGGTCATGATCTCAGGGTCTTGGATTGAACTCCCTGCTCAACAGGGAGCCTACTTCTCCTTCTCCTTCTGCCCCTTCCCTTGCCTCACTCATGCTCTCTCTTAAAAAAAAAAAAGAACAAAAACACCATAATACCATATATATATATATATATATATATATATATATATATATATAATATATGTGTATAATATATTTTACACATATGTATATATTATATGTATATTGTGTGTGTGTGTGTGTATATATATATATATATATATATATATATATAATAGTATAGGTGATTGCCAGGAGCTGGGGAGAGGAGAGGGTGAGGTGCAGAAGTGTTTTGCTAGATAGAGGTAGTGGTTGCTCATGTTATAAATGTACTAAAATCATAATAACAATAATATAGGTAAGGGACAGTTTGTCAGTGGTACACTAATGGCTATAATTTTAAAACATTGCTCTGAGGGTACCCGGATGGCTCAGTGGTTGGGCATCTGCCTTTGGCTCAGGTCGTGACCCCAGGGTACTGGGATGGAGTCCCCCATCGGGCTCCCTGCATGGAGCCTGCTTCTCCCTCTGCCTGTGTCTCTGCCTCTCTCTCTGTGTCTCTCATGAGTAAATAAATAAATCTTAAAACAAACAAACATAAAAACCACTGCTCTGACCTAGCAGGTATCATATGTGAGTTAGGAAAAACGAAAGATCAGAATGTGATTTACAGAGACTCATCGATAGGGTTCAGATGTTTTCAGGTCTTAAGAATTGTTCTGTTGAATTGTTGCAGGGGATAAATTGTATATTTATTTTTAAATAGAAAGACCCTGAGACTAGAAGTCAAATGGATGCTTTGTGAAATGGACTTTCTGGAGCTTTCTTCCAGTCTGTGTCTGGATGGTAGCATTTCCTCCAAAGGGCTGTCCTCATGGACCTTCTATGTATTTATTGTGTCTTGCAGTGGACCCAAGCGCTATGACTGGACTGGGAAGAACTGGGTATACTCCCATGACGGTGTGTCCCTCCACGAGCTGCTGGCCACAGAGCTGACTAAAGCCTTCAAAATCAAACTGGACTTATCTTCTCTGGCCTATTCTGGAAAAGGCACTTGAGGCCCAGCTTTGTTCCAAAGACCTTAAAAGCTAAAAAGCCAAGACCCCAGCTTCATCCTGCAGCTGAGTATCTGGTTTTTTTCCATTCCTGCTTTTGAGGACAGTTGTGGCATGTGACGGCTCTGTGAAAAGAGTGTGGTGCCTCCCACTGTCCCCCAAATTCAGATTTTTAATTTCCATAGTTTCGGGGGGGAGGGGGTCTTTGTGGTTTTTTTGTTTTGTTTTTTGTTTTTGTTTTTAGGATTTGTTGTCTGGTTTCTTTCTTCCCAGGATATCTCTTCTTTTTCTCATGCCCATATATGCATACATTTATATATAACCTTACAACAAAGAAAAATAAGAAGGAAAAATGACTTGATTTCACTATTCCTACTTTAAAGGATTTAACTGCCTAAAACCATGTGAAGAGCGGCTGGCCCGACCTTCCCCTTCAGTCCCCAAAGACTCATTAAAGAGTTGCCTATAAATGTTGCCACGCCTCTTGAAAATGTCAACATTCCTAAGCCCATTAGTAGGAAAGTGTCAGTGACATTCAGGAATTCTCAAACTAAAGATCATTCTCTGTTTACACTTCGTGTCTGCTAAAGTGCAGCCTGCATGGGAGACTCGGGGACGCAATGCTGTTTCTTCCACAGAGACGTGTATAGGGCCATACATGCATGTTTCATTTCAGGGGTATGTGTGTGTTCTGTGTGTCTGTGTGTTTAAGTGAAAGGCCCACATAGAATCAGCTGCTCCAACAAAGGTCTGAGAGTGCAGAAAATCTCCCAAAGGCAAGAAGGGGGAAGGGCCATCTTCACAAGCTAGTGGATATAAGTATAATAAACTAGATGGCCGGGCTGAGGAGGTGCTTTGCAAATTGTGAAAGACCATATAGATGAAAAGATATTCGTGTTAATGAAAAGAGCCCTGGTCCTTCACTTAGCTCAGTTTAACCTTTTCTTACTGAAGAAGGATTTCTCAGTGACAAGTCTACGCAGAGATGCAGCATCTCCATTGCCTATCTCTGGGTGAGTGTCATAAGCTCCCTGGACCTGTTTCCCCCACGTGGTAAATGAGAGGTGGAACTTCATAGAATATAGTTGATAATTCCCAGTCCAGACACTCAGTGGTCTTGTCAGGCCAATTTAACAGGCTGGTCTTAATTCCTCCTGATACATGAGGGATGACAATGAATTATTTCCTTAAGCTACAGCAGAAGCGTAAGGTCATTGGTATTGTTCTACTTGAATGTCAGCTGAATTCATGTTCAAATGATACCTATCTTATGGTGTCTTTACCTTGCTGAGCTAGTGTTGTGGTCTGTTGTGTCCCTCCCAAATTCCTATGTTGAATCCTAACTGCCCCCCCCCAACCTTGGTGTGATGGAGTTAAGAGGTGGGACCTTTGGGACCCCCAAAGGGGGGTGGGATTAGGTCATGAGCACAGAGCCTCATGAAGGGAATTAGTGCCTCATAAGAGACCAGGGAGCTCCTCACCCCTCCTACCACATGAGACATGAAAGGTGATGGGGCCTTGATCTTGGGCTTCCCAGCCTGCAGAACTATGGGAAATAAATTTCTGTTGTTTCTAAGCTATCCAGTCTATGGTATTGTGTTCTAGTAGCCCAAATGGACTAAGCCTGCCACACCCTGAGACCTCATTTTAAACTCTACAGACTTGCATCTTACACAAGAAGAAACCATGGCTCAGCTAACCCCTCCAGAGTTACGTTCCTGTACCATTCTGTTGCTACTAAAGAAAGATTTATTAGTGACAAGTCTATGCAAATATGTAGCAAATGCTTTTGCAAACCCGTGAACAAAAAGCACATTGCATTATGGAAAAAAACCTCTTAACAATAGAACAATAGAAACAAACACTAAATTGGTATTTAAAATATTTCCTTTCTTAGAAAAAAAAATATTTCCTTTCTTCAAAAATAAAATTATTTTTTAGTGTGGGTGGAACTTTTTAAAGTGTGTTGAGTCAGTACCAGCGAGAAAATAAAACTACGTGTGTGTGTGTCTATCTCTTCTAATGAAAGTTTCACTATCTTGCTTCCTTGGAACTCAGCTAAGTGATGCACTCACCTTTCTGGGACACAACATAAAAAAGATTTAATCAGTCTCTGTAGGACGAGAACGTACCTTAGGGGATCTGTGCTCTTAATGCTTCCCTTATGGACCATCTTTTCAGGCCTACTTTTACTTTATATACAATGCTAACTGGTTTAATTATTTCCTTTCTAAGGCCCTGGGAGATACCCACTTAAGACAGTAGAATAACTAGGACCACAAGAACAGTCACCAAGGGAGGAATAAAAATCATTCTCTGATTAGCAAACTGGAAAAGCACAACAGTGTGGGTCCAGGAGCCTCCCACACCCCAGACCTAGGAGCATCATCACATTTATGGTATCACCCACATTAACGATGAGTTTCCAGGAAAACGTTGAAAATGTTCAGTATTAAATGTTAAAGGAGGGGAGAAAATACACAGTATAATTTCAGAAAGCTTTATACTATGTTTAGCTTCCTGAGTGGATAGATCCCTGGCCACTGGAAAATATAACTACCCAGAAGGACTAATTTACTTCACTCTGAGGATACAGAGAAGCACTGGGGTGTGTGAAAGAGAACCTGAGATTTAAAATTTTTTTTAAATCAGGATTTTTAAAATGTCTCCAAACTCTGCTACCGACTTATTTGCTGATACTAGCCTCCCTTCTCTTACCTGTAAAACGATGGTATCTAACCTATGGCTCCTGGGCCCATGTGCAAAGTACTTGTGCAAAGGTACATGACAAATATTAGCACATGCACAGCACAATTTCATATTCACATTTGGGAGTTTTCCCCAAAATATTACTTGCAACATTTTCTATTCAGCTGCAAACTTATTCCAAGTTTATTGGTTGTCTTGTGACAGATCCTGATTTCCCAGAACAATTTTTCCTGCCACCTCCAGTGTTTATATTTTATTCAGTTTTCTTCATAGTTCTTTTTTTTTAATTTTTATTTATTTATGATAGTCACACACACACAGAGAGAGAGAGGCAGAGGCACAGGCAGAGGGAGAAGCAGGCTCCACGCACCGGGAGCCCGACGTGGGGTTCGATCCCGGGTCTCCAGGATCACACCCTGGGCTGAAGGCAGCACTAAACCACTGAGCCACCCAGGCTGCCCCTGTCCCCATATTCTAATAAACCCCATTGCTACCTCTAAAGAAAGACCCATGTTCATAAATATGAAAACTTTGCCTGGATTGGCTAGGCAAGGCTGCCAAGGAAAGCTGGCTTCACACCTCCAAGGTATACTCTAAGATTAAAGTAATTTTAGGTCATGTTCAGTTGAAGTCTTAGCATATATTTATCTTCAGTCATCCAAAAGGGAAAGGAAGAAGTAAAGCTGTCACTATTTGCAAATGACATGAAAACCTTAAAGACTCCAACAAAAACCTGTTATAGCTCGTAAATAGTGTTGGTAAACCTGCAGAATACAAAATCAATGTACAAAAATCAGTTGCGCTTTCATATACCAACAATGAAGTATCAGAAAGACAAATCAAGAAAACAGTCCCATTTACAGAAGTCTCAAAAGGATTAAATACTTGGGGCGCTTGGGTGGCTCAGAGGTTGAGCATCTGCCTTTGGCTCAGGTCCTGATGCCAGGTCTTGGGATCAAGTCCCACATTGGGCTTCTAATAAGGAGCATCTTCTCCTTCTGCCTGTGTCTCTGCCCCTTTCTGTGTCTGTCATGGATAAATAAAAAAATTTTTTTTAAGATTTTATTTATCCATGACAGACACAGAGAGAGAGGCAGAGACACAGGCAGAGGGAGAAGCAGCCTCTGTGCAGGGAGCCGGACGTGGGACTTGATCCTGGGACTCCAGGATCATACCCTGGGCTGAAGGCGGTGCTAAACCACTGAGCCACCTCAGTGGCTGCCCAAATAAATAAAATCTTAAAAATAAATAAATATGGGAATCCCTGGGTGGCTCAGCGGTTTAGCGCCTGCCTTTGGCCCAGGGCGTGATCCTGGAGTCCCGGGATCAAGTCCCACATCGGGCTCCCTGCATGGAGCCTGCTTCTCCCTCTGCCTGTGTCTCTGCCTCTCTCTCTCTGTGTGTGTCTTTCATGAATAAATAAATAAAATCTTTAATATATATATATTCCTTAAATACTTAGGAATATATTTAACCAAAAATGGAAGATCTGTACACTGAAAACCAGAAGACATTGACTAAAGAAATTAAAGAAGATATAAACAGAACTATTAGAAGAATTAATATTGTTAAAATGTCCAAACTACACAAAGTGATCTACAGATTCAGTCAGATCCCTATCAAAATTTCAATGCATTTTTTCTCAGAAACAGAACAAACAATCCTAAGATTTTTAATAGAGCCACAAAAGACCCCGAATAGGCAAAGCATTCTTAAGAAAGAACAAAGCAGGGCAGCCCAGGTGGCTCAGCAGTTTAGCGCAGTCTGCAGCCCAAGGTGTGATCCTGGAGACCAGGGATCCAGTCCCACATCAGGCTCCCTGCATGGGACCTGCTTCTCCCTCTGCCTGTGTCTCTGCCTCTTTCTCTCTCTGTGTGTGTCTCTCATGAATAAATAAATAAAATCTTAGAAAAAAAGAAAGAACAAAACAGGAGGTATCACACTTGATAAGTTCAAACTATGCTGTAAAATTATAGTAATCAAACAGCATAGTACTGGTATAAAACAAACAGAATTGAGAGAGCTCAGAAATAAACTCATACATATATAGCCAATTAATTTACAGCAAAGGAGCTAAGAATATACAATAGGAAAAGGATATCTCTTAATAAATGATGGGGGAAAACTAGACAGCCACATGCAAAAGAGTGAAGTTGGACCCCTATTTACACCAAAACCAAAAATTAACCCAAAACGGATTAAAAGCTTGAACCTAAGACCTGAAATTATAAAATTGCCAGAAAAAAAACACAGAGGTTATCTCCTTGACATCAGTTTTGGCACCAAAAATAAAGGCAACAAAAGCAAAAGTAAACAAGTGGAACTACATCACAATAAAAAAAACTTTTGCACAGCAAAGGAAACCATCAACAAAATGAAATCAAATATTTCCTTCTATTGGAGAATAGAAGGAAATATTTGCAAACCACATATCTGATAAGGGGTTAATAACCAAAATACACAAGAAACTTATAAAATTCAATAGCAAAAAGTAAACAACCCAATTAAAAATGGGCAAAGGGAGGGATGCCTGGGTGGCTCAGCGGTTGAGTATCTGCCTTTGGCTCAGGTTGTGATCCTGGGGTCCTGGGATCAAGTCCCACATCAGGCCCCCTGCAGGGAACCTCTTCTCCCTCTGCCTGTGTCTCTGCCTCTCTCTCTCTCTCCCTCTCCCTCTGTGTGTGTGTGTGTTTCTTGTGAATAAATAAATAAAATCTTAAAAAAAAAAAAAAGACAAGGGATAACAAGTGTCCAGGAGGATATGGAGAGAAAGGAACCCTTGTGTACTGCCAGTGGGAATGTAAATTAGTGCCACCACTGTGGAGGCTCCTCAAGAAATGAAAAATAGAACTACCATAGTA